CAGTAATCACTCTGGGCTCAGCTAACAATAGACATGGGATTCCACTGTAATTTTGTGTGAGATAATCACATCTACTTATTATTATTTATTATTTGTAATGCCTAGGAGCCCCAGTCATGGACAAGCACCCCATTGTGCTAGGCGCTGTACAAACAGAACAACAAAACAAAACATGGCCCTTGCCTCTAGGAGCTTGCAATCTGATAACAGTGCTGTTAGATAATGGCTGCATGGATGCTGTACATTTCAACCCAAGCAGAAATATCCTGTTCAATATCCTTGTGATATATCACATGTGCCAGATAACAGAAGTTATAAAGTTTACCAGTTGCTTTGCTTATTATTCTTGAGCTTTGGAATGTTTACTTTTAGCACTCTCATTTTATTTCTGGATTTTCCATAACCTGTAGTTCAAATAATTGCCGTGTTTCTCATTTCATCATTGAGATTCTCTAACCTGTTCTTTGTGTCAAAAACCTGTAATGAAAATGTTTAAACACTTTGATGACAGTTTTTTTTTAAATTATTCCTTTGACACACACAGCTCATTTCTAGCCTTCCTTGACAGAAATAATAATGAATGAAAATAGCAACAAACTTCACCTCTCCAGAATTCAGCTTACGCAAATATTGTGCCAGAGTGAAACAGAAGGATGTCAAGAGCACTGCCACTTTTCTGATACTCCAAAAATATTTGTGAGGTTATAAAATGATTCATTTTGAATAATGTGGGAATCACTTTAAGCCTAATCTATGGCAAGGAAATAGAAATACTGTATTTACTATGAATGCCACAGTGTTCAAATGATATTTTTTACCCCCTTTGAACCATGGGTTGACGACGGAGGCTTCTTTTACCTAAATCCCACTTGTTCTTGTTCCCATGGAAGCAGTTCAGTTGGTATTCAGCGGAGATCTAGATCCCTGATATGGCAGGGAGCAGGTCCAGGGTGTATGTGTGTGGTGAGTGAGTGGGGGGTGATCACTCCTTCATGCCATCATCACAACACTAGGGACATTTGCGAGTCTGTTCATGATAATCCTCCCTTCATTCTCTGGAGGCTAGTGTTCGATGAGGGGAACCCCTAGCAGCTCAGCTCTAACAAACGGACTAAAAGGAGCCAGGGGGGATTGGGAGCCAACGTGGAGGTACAGACGCTCCAGCCAGGTGGGCCACTCCACTGAAGATCTCATACAAGCTGTGCGTATTTCAGGTACCTGCTGGCTTTGTGGCCAAACTCACTACAAAGAGATGGGGCGTATACGGGAGAATCATCCACTATTACAAGCTCTGTGCTGGCATGCAACCTTCCACAATTTCCTTTCCCAGTACAGGGGACGCCGGGCCCAAAGTGTGCAAGTGATTTCAGATCCTTCTCTATGAAAGGTACCATGTAAAAATAAGATCATTGTTACCATCACCTCCTTCCTGTGGCTCCGTGCCTGATAGGGATCCACAGGATTTTGTCCCCTCTGTCCTTTATACAGTAATCCGTAATCAATACTTAGGCATCTCTTCATCTATCACTGTAATGCAGCCCCACTGGAGTGGAATGTGGCACTCCTAAATAATACACAGCAACCCTAAATAACAGGACAGGAATCAAATAATATTTTTCCCTGTTCAGACTATGATGTAGAGGATGAGTTAATACTGTTTGGGCAATATAACTGCCCACGTCAGAAATCGGCCAAGAAACCAGGGTTATTACCTCTGCCTTTATAACATGTGCCTGGGATCTTTAATGACTATAACAGGTTTAGAGCTTAGTTTTATGCCTCATCAGAAAAACAGCGCCGCCTCTAATGTTACAGTGGACGTAATCTTGGTAGACATATACCTGTGTGAATTCTAAATGAGAATTGTATGTTCATTATTTTATTTGAGAGTGTATGTGTATGTATATGTAATATTAGAGCTGTTGGAAAAATTGTATTTTCCACAAAAAAAGTTTAGAAAGAAATGACAAATTTTCATATTTTTCCAAAACTCTTAACAGTTTTTTTTTTAAATTTTTCAACTATCTGTAAACTGACCCTCCTCTCCTAGTTTCCCCCTCTCTTTTTTTCTTTCCTTTTTCCCCCTTTCCTTTATTTTTTCCCACTAAAGAAAGTGAGAAAAATCTAAAATTGTTTTGATTACATTTGAGGTTACATGTTACAAAAATAGCTATGTTTTATTTTTTTTTGAAAAAGGGCAAAAATTTCCATTATCCATAACCTATAAATTGATACTATATTTTTATTTTGATTTATATTTTAAAAATACACATACATAAAACTATGCAAAAATGACTTGTCTTTTAACATGTATACTTCTTTAATTCATTTTTTTGTGTGTGCGAGATATTGTGATTCTACAGAAGTCCCTTAGGAGTAAAATTTCTTTATCTACTGACAGTCTAACTGCATCTTTTGTAAAAGCTAACAGAAAAATGCAAATTCAAACTAATAACTGCTGCAAATTGCTAAATTGCTACATTTTTTGAATTAGCAAACAAATGAGCAAACACAGTACAATAAGACAACAAAATACAGGGTTAAGGCATCACAAGGTGTACTTTGCTCATTTATTTGATGTGTGGTTTAGGTTTAATTATTTAGGATCCAAGTGGACCGGTAAATGTTATGTAGCATATTTTATAAAAGCTTTAGTGAGTGGAATTCCCAGCTATCAACTCCCCACTGCTGATTTGGGGTCCAAGTTAGAGAACATGCTTATTAGCACCGGGTGACTTGGTAAGGACCTACTGTGAGTCTATTCCAACAGTCTCTGAAACTGCACAATTATTTCCATTTTAGCTGAATTAATGTATTACATTGTTCTTTGGCTCATTTATCACAAAGTCATTAATTTTTAGTTAAGTGGCTAATGAGGATCTTCATGCTGTGTAATCCTTTCCTTCGCTTTAACTATGCCTGTTTAACCCCTCTGGTCACTTAGAGGATGGTTGCTCCGTTGACATTAGTGTTGCTTTTGATTTATTCCATTCCATGTACTTGTGAGCATTGCTTAGGGTGTCAGTTCTTTCCAAGTGAGATGTCACCTTTTGACATAAAAAGAGGCCAGTCCAATTCCTACTGAAGTCAAAGTGAGTCTTTCCATTGACTTTGGTGGGAGTTGGATCAGGCCCATGATTAGGTCAACAAATCCTCACAGTAGATTTTCTCTCTTCTTTTACGTAGCTAGGTCTGAACTATAGCTATAGTTACTTATGGGGCTGAGTCCTGTCCCTTATAAAAACTTTCTAGATTCTTCTGCTTTCAGAGGCAACAGCTGGGCATCTCCAAGCTCCTCTAGGGCAGTGGTCTCCAAAGGGGTACGTGCACCCCAGGGGGTGTGCAAGACGATCAATTGGGGTGCGCGACAGAAGGAGCGCTGCCGGGGGGGGGGGGGAAAAAAAAGGGCGGCGGGAGGAGGGGGGGAACGAGCGAGCGGGGAAGCTGCCCCCCCCAGGCAGGGCCACCCGGAACGCAGGGGCTTTAGGGGCTGCAGGGCCCTGGGCTAAGGGGTCCCAGGGCCCTGGCCTGCAGCTCTAAAGCCCCTTTCGGAATGCAGCCCTGAGTCCTCCGGCCAGTGGAGGAGCAGGGGCAGCCGCACAGCCAGCTGGCTGGAGAGAAGCACTGCTTTGAAGGGGAAAGCACCGCTTCTCTCCGGCCGCTGGCTCTGCGGCTGCCCCTGCTCCTCCTTAGTCCTCCGACCCGTGCTCGCAGGGCCGCATTCTGAAAGGGGCTTTAGAGCTGCAGGCCAGGTCCCTGGGGCCCCCTTAGCCCAGGGCCCTGCAGCCTCTAAAGCCCCTGCGTTCCGGGTGGCCCTGCCTGGGGGGGGGGCAGCTCCCAGAATCGTGGCCATGGGGGTGGTGCCGCGCTACGCAGAGCCACCTGCACACCCTCTGCACCAAACAAGAGCTGCCCCAGGTAAGTGCTCTGCACCTCCTGCCTGCCCCAGCCCTGAGCCTCCTCCTGCACCCCCACCCTGAGCGCCCTCCTGCACCCTAACTCCCTCCCAGACCCCGGATCCCCACTCTGAGGGCTCTCTTGCACCCTAACCCCTTCCCAGACCCCGCACCGCACCCTGAGTCCCCTCCCGCACCCATACCCTAATCCAGACCTTCGAATCGCTGTATCATAGTGTTAAACCAGGATTTTCAGAAATAATGAAGTATATTCAATCACATTGCTCTCACTAAAAAATATTATTATTAATCATACTTTTTTTTGTGAGAGCAAAAAGGTTTTTTGTACCATTAATAAATAAAATACAATAAAAATTATTTAAAAATATTGCTTATTTCATCTTTATCTCATCCTTTTTTAATTTCTATTTTTTTGTATGTTTTATAATGTACATAATATATTAGTATAGTAGTACATGTATATAATTTACACACAAATAAATATACATATATTGGGGGTGCGTGCTCAAAAATTTGTTACTGATAGGGGTGCACGATCAAAAAAGTTTGGAGACCACTGCTCTAGGGAAGAACAAAGAATTCTTTTAATTACTCTACAGTAGGGTGACCAGATGTCCCGATTTTATAGGGACAGTTCCGATATTTGTGGCTCTCTCTTATATAGGCACCTATTATCCCCCACCCCCGTCCCGATTTTTCACACTTGCTATCTGGTCACCCTACTCTACAGGGTCTTCAAAACTGGTCCTTTGGGACAAATGTAGTTCATTTTGTAAAGCCACCTGAATTTCTGACATTAAGGGTGCAATAGATCTTTTGTTACACTCTGTCATAGCCCCCCCATATCCATAGTACCTGAGCCCCTCACAGTCATTAGTGCATTTATCCCCACAACTCCCCTATCAGTTAGGGAAGTACTATTATTTATTTATGGGAGTAACTGAGGCACAGAGAGCCCAAGGTCACATAGGAAACCTGTGGCAGAGCAGGGAATTGATCTGGGTCTCCCAAGTCCTAGCCAAGCACCCTTCTCACTGGACCATACTATTGCCCTATAATCTGACTCTTGCTGTATTTGTTCAGCTAGGATTGTGTATTAGCAGAGCTTCAGCATCTGTCCTCAACCTGAACTGCAGCCTGGTCCTTTTACCGATGTGCCGTATTCTCCTGGCCTTCTTCCGAGGATCTCAGAAGGTAAACAACATTTAGAATACAATCAATTAACAAGGACCATGCACATAGACAGATTCCTGAGAAACAGTAGAAAGGTTATAGTACACACATATTTAGTTATTATTCATTTGCTTGGCTGTTTATGGTGCTACTCTGCAGACAGGTATCCCCTAGATGTGCATGGTAGATGCATTGTATGTGGCCCAAGCTCCAGATCCGTTTGAAGCCAAGGAAAGTATTCATATTGACTTGGCTAGTAGCTGGGTTGGACCCAGTGCTAAGAACATTTCTTGCTTTGGTAAGTAAGGTCATCATGTGCCTGTGTGCACAAGAAGACTGAGCGCAAATGAAGCCTTACCCCCATTTTCCTCTCTTGCTCAGTAGCTGGTGTGTGCTTTGAATATCAGGACTATTTGCTTCTACCTAAACTCAGAGAAAAGTGGGCTGCGGCCCCACCCCAAGCCATGCAGCGAGGAAATACAGAGCACCAAGAGTAGAAAAGTGGACATACCTCTCTTATTCTGCAGCTCTATGCTGCCTCCAGTGTGAGCTATTGGACATGATTGAATCCCAAATAAATAACCTATTGGGCATCCCGAAAAGAGAAATCTGACAAACTAAAGAAGGTTTGGTCTCTCTAAATATCCAGTAACCAGTAATTTCCATGGGTTGTGACTCAAATCAGTAAAATGTAAAAAAAAAAAAAAAGTAAAATGTTACTTGTGACAAAAATCTAAGTAACACTGTTCAAGTAATACAGACGTACTGGATGCCTGAGGCACTTTTTGGATGGTTGCAAATTGAAGATAAATGTAGTCCTTATCCTGTGTCCTCTGCCTTGTGCCTGATAGTGATATGAGGTGAACAGATGCACAGTGTAAACAAATACCTTGTCCTGTGCTATTGGTCATTTACATTAAAAACCTTCATTCACTTTTAGTGTATAGACTCATAGATCGTAAGGCCAGAAGGGGCCATTATGCTGATCTAGTCTGATCTCCTGAATAACACACACCAAACAACATCTTCCAGTAACTTCTGCATCAAGCCCATGGAGTTACCCTATTGTCTCTAATCCTGTTCCTACTAAATGTAGGTGTTGTGATCAAATAGCGTTAAGCCTCGTGTAAAAGTTAATTTGACAAAGAAATCACATCTAGAACATCAATTACTTTTAACTTTATTTTCCATTGCTTCATTTTAGAAGAGAGATTGCTTGAATTCTTTTCTTACTAGGTTGCCAGCAGGAAAACAAGAAGGCTGTTGGATAAAAGTAAAACTTTCCATGTAACATGTGGTGTTACTATATGTGTCTTTTCGGGTAAGATTTTATTGTGCTGAGCACTAGCTCATGTGGGAAGCATATTAAACAATACAAGTCACTTGTGGCTTTTCTTGTGCAGTACATTTTGGGGTAGTTTTTCTCTGTGTTTCTTTGTTTAGACGTGTGAATGTTTTCTCAGAATTTTTGAAGCCTGGGATCTAAATCTGCGTGGAAAGACTTTCCTTAAAAGTTACAGGTTCTGAAGTGTCAGTTCTTATTTCATATATGAAATCAAATTAAAAGCTGCCATCCTAACTGATTTCAGACCACATGTAGTCAATTTAAATGAGGAGGCATTGATGTTAGAGATGAAAAGACCCATTGCAAACATGTGGGCAATATAGGTAAATATCACAAAATATTGCCACTTTCAGTGAAGTGTTAACATAGCTTTGACACAGTCCTTGGATTCAGTCTCCCAATCAGAGAATTATAATGGGAAAATAAACTACAGTACTTCAAAAGGTTCAAAATGAGTAGTATTTTCATATCAGCCTATCTGTCCAACTCACTTAGTACAAAAATAGCACATGGGGTCTTAGGACTGATCTTGTTTCCCCTAAAGTGAATGGAAGTTTTCCAATCGACTTCAGTCAGAGCTGGATCAGTTCCATAAAGAAGGTTCTTATATAAAATCTGCAGGTCAGTAAATTTAATGTTCCAAATATGCAAAGGAAAATGATAAACAGGTAAAAAAACAAGAAGTCGTCCGGTGGCACCTTAAAGACTAACAAATTTATTTGCCAGTAGGAGAACACTTCAATCTCCCTGGACATTCAATAACAGATTTAAAAGTAGCCATCCTGCAACAAAAAAAACCTTCAAAAACAGACTTCAAAGAGAAACTGCAGAACTACAATTCATGTGCAAACTTAACATCATTAATTTGGCCTTGAATAGGGACTGGGAGTGGCTGGGTCCCTACAAAAGCATTTTCCCCTCCCTTGGTATTGACACCTCTTCATCAATTATTGGGAGTTGACCACATCCACCGTGATTGAATTGGCCTTGTCATCACTTGTAAGGTAACTCCCTGCTCTTCATGTGCCAGTATATTTATGCTTGTACCTGTAATTTTCACTCCATGCATCTGAAGAATTGGTTTTTTACCCACAAAAGCTTATGCCCAAATAAATCTGTTAGTCTGTAAACTGCCACTGGACTCCTCGTTGTTTTTGTGGATACAGACTAATGATACTACTCCTCTGATACTTGATAAACAGGTAGTTTATATATAAAGGCTAGTAGTAGCATAGACTAAATGATAATGATGGAATCAGCCTAGTAAATCACTTGGGACCCAGATCTACAAACTCATATATGTAAGAACAGGGATCCACCTACACATATGAGCGATCAGGATTAAGGGCTTCACATAATCTTCAAAATGCAGCTTAGTGAACTGAGATTTGTTCTGTTTTATAGTCTTACATGTTGCCGCACACCTGGTGAATGTTCTTAACTTCTCTGTGAACTATACTGAAGAATTTTTGGCACTAAATGCAGCAAACTACCGTGGTGAGGTGGGCGATCTGTTCTTTTATATTTTCCTTGAAATAAATGTAACTTGTATGGTGCCTTATAGTTTCCATGAGTGATCTATACAGTGGTGCTTGTCTTGTATAATGTGAAAATGCAGTATCCTGTTGATTTTTCCCCCCTTCCTTTCGATGGCTAGAACACCAGGATTGGAGTCAGGAAACCTGGCTATGCCACTGACTTTCTGTGCGACCTTGAGCAAGTTACTTCACTTATTTATTTATATTTTATTAATCTCCCCCTTCCCCAAAAATAAGGGGAGAAAAAGACAAAAAGAACAAAAAAGTAAAGGAATGGGAAGGGAGGGAAAGGAAAGAAAGGAAAGGGGGAAGGGAAGGAAAAGGAGAGCAACAGCTTGGTTTCTATCTGCTAGGAATTAAAGATTTCTAAAAAGTTAGACCATATCTTTGCCAATTTGTCTTGGGGTCCTTCTTCTCCAAAATGTTACCTGCTCTTTAGCTGCCAGGACAGCCACATTGCTGAGCCAAGCTTCTGTCCCTGGAGTCAGGCTGCTTTTCTGTTTATGTAACATGAGTTGTGTGGCTGCAAGCACTGCTCTAGAGAACCAAGCTTTTCATGGAGGTGGAGTTTCCAGGATGATGGTTTAATTTTTAAGGTGGTATCCATTATCATGTTAATCCTCCTACCGACTTCTAACCCAAAGGATTGAGAGTCCCCAAACATATGAGCCAGTGTGATTCTGGGGAGACCCACATCTTCAGCAGCAGTCTCCACCAGTGCCTTGCTGTGTGCCCTTTGGCAAGTCACTTCACTGTTCTGTGCCTTAGTTTACTGCCCTCACTGCGGCTGGGCAGTCCTTGTTGAATCATTTATGCTGCTATCATTGGCCCTGTCATTAAACCTTATAAAATGGGAGAGGCAGGAGAATAGATGTTGCATTTGCAGCATTGCGCAGACAGTGTAATGTGACATATGGATTGAAGGATGACAAGATTTGGGCCAATCTTGCTCTCATTCACGTCAATGGCAAATCTGCTGTTGGCTTGAATGGGAACAGTATCAGATACTTTTATTGTGGCTTTAGTTGTCTGCCTGAATTAGGCTGGAAGCTGTATTCTGCTTCCAAAATGCCATACTCAGCTGACTTTTCTATCTCTGATGTATCCCCCTTAAGTCATATCAGAATGTAGGGCCAAAAGTCATTTGGGGGAAACACTCTGGCCTTAGGAAGTCTTAAAGTCTTCTCCTGCCTTTGCACTGCCTACGGGAGTAATGCTCCCACAGGCTTCCCCACTGTGCGCCGCTCCCTAACTTTTCTTTGGGTGGTAGGCTTTGCCCGAAATAGGGGGGGAATAGGAATCATTTAGTGCTTACAAGCATTAACTTATGCTCACAGAATCCTTCTGAAGTTGAGTGGAGGAATGATTCCATGGAAGATGACGGTCTCCTTTGCTCCATAATTGCTTCTTCCCGCAGCCTGTCCCTCTCACCCATGATCCTCATGGACCTGGTCTTCACTACACAAAAAAAAAAAAGGTGTGTTCTTAACTTGAATTAATGAACCTGAGGCAAAATCCCAGTGGAGGCAAGGTAGTTAGAAATTTTCATATGAGTTAGCAGGTTGAGTTATGGCCTATGGAGGAGCTTCATCTTTAACTCAACCAGCTAGTTCATACAAAAACTAACTAAATGCCTTGCCTTCACTAGGATTTTATCTCGAGGTAGTTAACTCGAGTTAAGAACCCACTTTTCCCCCCCTCTGGTGAAGACAAGGCCATAGAGCGGCTTCCACAGGATCAAGGGGATTGTGGAAGCATGCTGTAGAGTTGGCACTCCGCCCTTTCCCCTCCACTCAGAACTGCTGCTCTTTCCCCCACAACCTCCCACAAGGAAGTGAAGAGAAGAATTTGGCCTGATAGTGTGAACTCCTTGAGGCAGCCATGTTAAGCTCAGTCCTGCTCCCAGGGAAGTCCATGACAAAACTCCAGTTGACTTCAATGGGAGCAACATCGTTGCCCCATGTTTTTATATTCAGCTTCAAAATCTCATCCCTCTCCTACACCTATTCGGTAGCTAGGGAAAGTTGTTTTGTAAAATGATTATCTATGAAAGCAGAAAAGTGTCTGATTGTCTCACTACTCTGCTTTCTTATTCAGTGTGCGGTTGGTTTTTGCAGGGTTGGCAAAAGGTTTAGTTTACACTGATGGAGCGTAGTAGTTGTCATTGTTCTCTCTTACCAGTTACACAGTCCACTTTTACAGTCAGGTTTAGGGATCGACTGTCGAAGTGAGGCATGTGGAATTTATGAGCAGTTTCTTATATTAAGAAATATAAAATGATAAATAGCAACTGATTTTTGTTTGTTTTTTGTGTCTATTTTTCAGGACCCCAGGAAACTCCTTTTCACTACCGGTAAGTTGGTGATGTTCTGTGCAGAGTTGATAAGCTGATTAATTAGTTTAGATTTCATATTGCAATCAAACCAGAAATATATTGTCAGCCAGACAATGGTCTCATTTCCACCCATAGTGGGATTTACCTCCATGTCGCTAGGGGCAGAGCTGGGATCACAGTGTCCTTAAAGGTATTTCCTAAGTGTCCTTAAAGGTATTTCACTGTATCCACATAGCAACATACATGGTCGTAGGGACCTATCCCGTTCCTGTTCCAGTCAAAACCAAAACTTCCATTGACTTCAGCGAGAGAAGAATGAGGCTTTTAGTTTTTGGAGAAGAGAGAAAATAAATCAAAGGTTGGACCCTCTAGAGCAGTGGTTTTCAGTCTGTGGTCCCTGGTCACCTGGGGGTCCACACACTATGTCTAAGATTTCCAAAGAGGTCCGCAGCTCCATTTGAAAATTTTAGGGGTCTGCAAATGAAAAAAGGTTGAAAACCACTGCTGTAGAGTCTCCTGTCATGGAGCAGCATTGATGGAGACAGGGAGTAATGGGGGATGGCTAGTCCAGTTTGTTGCTCCAAGTTGATACAGGTTGCTCAATAGATCTCTCCTAATATTTAGAAGAGGAGTGAGTCTCTGAAGGAGGCAAACTGAAGGGCTAGGTTGTAGCCTGAGCCCGACTTTAGGGGCTTTTTGTTGTTACAGGACAACTGACCCACTTCATCGGCTTACCTGTCCTTTATGGACAGCCCAGTCCTGTAAGGTTTAGCATTTGCAAGGTACTGAGGAGCCTCAACTTCCCTGCCTGACTTCAGTGAGAGTTGAGGGTGTTCAGTCCCTCAGAGGTGAGATTAACCCTAAACGAAGGGAAAGCTGCTGCCTCACAGAGTGTCAGTGGATAATAACCCCTCCCCCCAACTCGAGCTGGCTGCAGGGAGAATGTAACTATTTAAAAAAGAAAAGAGGGATCTAATTGAGGATGTGTGATACTGATTCAGTAACCTCGATTAGAATATTTAGAAAACACGCATTAAATATAATGGCTTGTATTGCTCTATTATCTGCAAATCAAAAAAATAACTCCTATGACTGTTTGCCATTTTTCATCATCATGCGCCAGACAAAATATTTAGTTTCTGTGTTGGTGTTATACAAATCTGCCATTTGTTACATCAAGCACGTAACGAGATGAACCTAGGTTTGCTTACCCAGTAGTCAGGAAGGAGGAGTTATAGAAACTCTTGGAGTGGTGTGAGCAAAGTCTTCAGTGCTGTTGTTCTGCAGATGAGTCAGTGGAACATAGTTTCAAACAGAGATTCTACATAATATTAAAACCAAATTTCTGTATTATCCAATGTTAGAAAAAGAAATGTAACCAAAATACTGACTGGTTGTCTCAGCTGGTTTATGTCAGGATCAGTTCAGCTTTAGAATGATTAAACTGCAACATGGAAGCAAGCAACTAGAATCATAAAAATAAATGAGCAAAGAGGTTTTAGCTGCATGCACATGACAGAGAACAATGTACTCCCATTATGGAATGGATTTCCTGGGCCTGACGCAGGCACTCCTCACTCAGACACAACTCCCATTGACACCTACGGGGTGTGATGTTCTACTGTGTTTCACCTTGTTCACCCCTGTTCAGAATGAAGACAGAATGCTGCTATTCTGATTTGGTAGGGGTTGGTGCAAGACAGCATAGAAACAAGCCAAAAAAAAAAGTTTAATTTGAAGGGACTGCAGGATGGGGTCCCGTGTCTCTCGCTCCTGTTGCACTTACTGGAATTAGAAGTCTATAGAAAACACAGGTTTCAAAGGTTCTAAGCCAAATCCAGACCAGGTGTCAGCAGGTGCAGCTTCCATAGAAAATCGGTGATATTCTAAATGGTGGTGTAAGTCTGTTGGCTAACTGGCATAGACTCATAGACTTTAAGGCCAGAAGGGACCAGCATGATCATCTAATCTGATCTCCTGCACATCGCAGGCCTCAGAAGCTCACCCACCCACTCCTGTAATAGACCCATAATCTCTGGTTGAGTTAGTGAAGTCCTCAAATCATGATTTAAAGACTTCAAGTTACAGAGAATCCACCATTTACACTAGTTTAAACCTGCAGTTGATCCATGCCCCATGCTGCAGAGGAAGGCGAAAACCCCCAAGGGTCTCTGCCAATCTGACCTGGGGGAAAATTCCTTACAGACCCCAAATATGGCAGTCATTTGGACCCTGAGCATTTCAGCAAGACCCAATAGCCAGACACCTGGGAAAGAATTCTCTGTATTAATTCAGAGCCCTCCCCATCTAGTATCCCATCACTAACCATTGGGGATATTTGCTGTTAGCAGATTGCTACATGCCGTTGTAGGCAGTTCCATCATACCATCCCTTCCATAAACTTACCAAGCTCAGTCTTGAGGCCAGTTAGGTTTTGGAAGGCTGTTCCAGAACTTCACTCCTCTGATGGTTAGAAATCTTCGTCTAATTTCAAGCCTAAATTTGTTGATGGCCAGTTTATATCCATTTGTTCGTGTGTCCACATTGGCACTAACTCCTCTTCCTCCCTGGTATTTATCTCTCTGATGTTTTTATAGATAGTAATCATCTCTCCCCTCAGCCTTCTTTTGATAAAAGTAGCACAGTTGGCATTGATGTGGCATTCAGTGGGTGTTCAAGGTGAGGGTTGTTCACAGACTAAGGAGGAGGAAGAGGGAAGGTGCATCAAAACCAACATCTAATAGGAGGCGCAAATAAAGTATAAGCAGTGCTGCCTTGATCAGGGAGAGGGCCTGAGTGCACATTGTACAGCCCACAGCCTCTCCATGAATGACCCTGCTTCTGTGGATACCCTGAGAGCTGTGTGGATCTTGGGGAATGCACTGTATTAGGGTGAGAGCCTGCAAGGTGGAACCCCCCTCTCCCTAAGGGAGTAAGGGGAAAACCTTGTGTCATTTTCATTCATTTTCGTTCCCCTTCACTTCTCAGTGTATTCACTCATAAGGGATGTTTTGGCCTGACTCTAAATCAGTAATTTAATAGCATCCTTCTTTCAGCCCATTGTGCCCAAGTGTTGAAGTCCTGCCCCATTGAAGTCAGTATCAGGCCTTCCATTTTCTTCACTGAGGCCAGGTTTTCATTTATGCTCTCCAGCCTAGAGATATCAAAACCATGCAGGAATTGCATATCCTACAGTGTAGGAATCAATACTTGGCACAGATGGTTTGAGGCTTAAGGTGTGGGGGTTTAAATTTTTTTTAGTATAATTTTAAATTTTTAAGAGTTTAACTTGTAAAAAAAAAATAGCAGAAGCATTCAGGTAAGAATGCAGCAACCATTTCAAATCGCCGTTATTGTTGTTGTTTGAATTGTGGTAGGTCCTAGAGGTCCCAATCAGGATTGGGGCCCTGTTGTTGTTAGGTGCTGTACAAACACATTGGTAGACACTGTCCTCACCTTGAAGAGTTTACAATCTAATTTGAGACAGGAGGCAACAAGTGAAACGACAAGAGGATGGAAGGAAGGAAGGACAGGAGTAGCAGCAATAAGAGTACAGGGGTGCGTAGGTAGCTACTGCACAAACGGATAGTTCCCATTCATCTTAATTTTAAATAAAATGAGCTATCCCTGACCAACCATTAGTTATTATTATTGCCATAGTGCCTAGGAGCTCCAGCCATTGTCTAGTCCCCATGGTTCTAGGTGCTGTACAAACTTTGAAAATCAGATGCCAGCATTAATGTAGGTAATTTAAAGTCTTTGTCCTATCACTCTGGAATGCTGACTGCAGCTCATCTTCGCAGGTTTTGTTCTACAGTCAACAACTTCAAACATTATACTATGTCATGAAGACTAATTGCAGCACTTTTCCCATTTCAGGGTAAAATGGGTCTGCAAATGATCGTAGCAACAGCTGGCATTGCAGTTGGTTTGCTTGAAATTCTCTTTCTGTGACCAATTTTTAATTGTGCTGTTTTGGAGAGCTGTACAGTTAAAAAAAATATATAACACTCAAAATTAAAATGGAAATGTTCTGCAAGTAACTAGCTTTGAAAGAGATTTCAAAAGCTGTTATAAAACCAGCCTTTACAGCAAACTGAAAGCCTGTGCTGTTAGAAAGGTACCTGCTGAGATCCAGCTGGTTCATGGTGCAAAGGGGGTACAAGAGGAGAAGCGAACAGTAAATTGTGAATTTTAGAGGTATCTGTATATACATGGACTAATGCAAGGAAGAAAACATATTTTCCCCTCTCCAGATGGAGAATAACAGTGAAAATCTGTTTTGCACAAAATTCTCTGAAACTATGTTTATTTGGAAAATTGATTCTTAGAAATAAATAAATTACACAAATCAAATAAATCATTTTGATCAATACATGATTTGTGTTCCTAATACAGACCGGCACTTTAAATGGTCATAAAAGATGAGAATACCTTTTCCTAATACAATTTTAAATCTGTGTGTGTTTATGTTGCAGTTCCAGGACTGACTGGGGTCCTGATGGTGTTAGTTTTATTCCTAATGTGCACAGCTTCTACATATGCTATCAGGTAAGACTTAATCTGATTATTACGTTGAACATCACAGTCTGAGAAATCGTATTCTGCCGCAGATTAGAAGGAATACAGAGCAACTACAGTGATATGTAACAGGCATTATATAAATAGAAGGAAAATATCAAATATCTTGTTCTATTTGTTGCACTAACTTGTAGGTGAACTAGCACATTACGTTTTGGAATCAATATTTGTACAATAAATATGAAAACTGATGATGTTTTCAGAACGTAGATGTATTTAAGGGACATGGTCTATTGAAATCTAGACAATTTTACTCTCCCCTGTCACTAGGGTGACCAGATGTTCCAATTTTATAGGGACAGTCCTGATATTTGGGGCTTTGTCTTATATAGGCGCCTATTACACCTCACCCCCATCCCGATTTTTCATACTTGCTGTCTGATCACCCTACTGTCACTGTGTGAAAGATCCACAGAAGCAAAACAGGAAACTGACTGTACAGTGGTACCAGTGAAACTAATTGTACACAAAGTGCTGTCAAATGCGCAAAGTAAATAAACTGCTGGAAAAATCAGAGGTTAATGTAGTTTTTCTTCATCCTTTCTTGGGTGTTTCTTGTAACAATACATCGATAAAATATTTCAGATAGAAATGTGCCATTTAATTGACTTAGTGTCTTTTTAAGGGGATATTAAGAATTCTGGGTACCATATTTCATAACTGAACACAGTAATTCTTGGTCACAGCCTCAGGTAACATTATTAATGGAGATGATAGTCTAGAGAGAAAATGAGCAGGGAACTGTATCCCCTTTTTAGCGCAGAGTCCTTAATGCTGTATGGTGCCTGCTCCAACGACTTAAGTGTCAGATTGCTTAACACCCTGCAGGGTTGAGTTTGATAGCCTTCATAGCCTTAGGCCCTGATCCTGCAAACACTTAAGCACATGCATAACTTTTGCTCATGTAGCAGTCCGTATCCAGTACTCACTTGAATAGATTAATGTTTTTGCAGGATCAAGAATCAAGTGTTTGCAGAATTGGGGTTTTAGATCTCGATTCAACAAAGTACGTACAGATATGCCTAACTCAAAGCATGAGAGATTAGTCCGAATTATGTCAGCTAGGCATATGTAAGTTACATTGCTGAACCAGCATGTCTTAGCTAGCTATTATTATTATTGTTAGGCCCTGATTGAGGAAGCAATTGAGTATGTACTTAAGAATCTTTCCTGAACAAGGATGCTTTCCTGAATCAGGACCTGAGGAACTGGCAGCCACAGATGGAGCTACAGAAGCACTGAATTTGAGCAGGATTAGACTGCAGTGCTGCTAGACTCAAGATAAGATCTCAGGAAAATTGGGCAGGATGTAAGCTATACTAAAGGCTTTGCCTCCAAAGCCAAACCCATTTCATAAAAGGTGGAAACACTAAATGATCACTTCATACTGATACAGCTCTGCAGGGCTTTTCCAAAAGCAAAAGTCTGTTTTCTCCAAGACCAACATAAATTAGAAAATAACAGTAACATTTGTTTAAATAAAAAAAAAAGAGAGAGATGCAATGCAAACATTCTTGGAAATAATGAAATTACTGTGATAAAAATTTAAAACTGTTCCTGATCCAGGCAACAAAGGTTTCCCTGTTTCCAAGACTGTGTACTAGTTATATCCCGTTTTGACTATGGCAACCTCCTGCCCTTCAGTCTCCCCTCCTTAAAACTCCCCTCCCATCAAATACTCATTTTCCGCTCTTAGTGCTTCGACAATGCCTCTTCTTCTAGATTCATTACAGTGGCATCTCCTCTTCTGTATAAAGATCAAGCTTCTTTTCTTCAAGCATTCCACAGTCTCTGCAGCCACCTATTGTGTCTAAGCCCGTTTCTCCTCCTGTAATCCAATCTGCTCCTTCACGTCCTCTTTGTCTTCTCCTGAAAACTCTTTCCACTTTTCTTTCATGCTGTCTCTATATTTTCAGTAAGTAAAGGCTTGATACAAATTTGAGGTGAAATGGAAAAGCAGTTTCTGATATATGAATTTTAGAACAAAACCAGTTGAATTCACTTCTTGAAAAATCTTCTTAATTTTTTTTAAAAATTTTCTTCCATGCAGTAGCTCAGCACCAGCTTGTGTAGCAACTCTCCATTTTTCATTCAAGAACCATTTGCTAGGAGGGAGTTTGAATTATTATAAAATGTAATAAAACATACAGAAAAATGCTAAAATGTGATCCAATTACAAGTGAAAGTTATTCCAGGACCTTTCCCATGAACTCAATCACTAAAATATAGGATGCCACTTATTCAGGGCTTCCTAAATAAGCTCCAACTACCCACACACAAGCTATCTTCTCAATAACATATAACAATAGTCATTCACATTATTATCTTATAAACCATCACATACACATTTCCTTCCAATGCAAATCTACACCCACCCACATACCAAGGCCAGTTCCCCAAAATAGGAATTAAACACACAATTTGAACTCAGGTTTTCAAGAACACTGATTTCTAGGAAATTAGATTTTGATAAATGTCTATTTTGAATCACAGATAGTAGATAAGAAGCAGTCTGATATGTTTTAAATAGCAAAAAAGTTCTGATTTAGTAAAAAGAAATAACGTTTATTTTTCGGCAATGTAACAGATATAAGCTGTCTAGGTAAAAGGAGACGAAGACATTTCAAGAGAGGGACATAGTATATGTTTGCAATGTCTTAATAATAGTTTCTGAAATTATATAGTCAGAGTTAAGGTTGTGTTTTATTTTATTTTTGATTTGTATTGTGGGTGGGGATAAAGGTTTGTATTGGAAGAGAATATGTTGTGCTACTGTGTGGGGTTGGAATGTGCTGTGTTGTGTATTTGTGAAGATAGGTAGCTTATGGGTGAATATTTCCGTAATTAGCGAGTTCCTAGTTTTTTTGAGTGATGATTGTACTCATGGAGAAAGGAATAAAGTTAAGTGACAGTTCACAGAGTTTTTATGTGGGGAGAATTTCCCTGGTTTTTAAAATCATCAATAGAAGGAAGTCCTTCTTCTCCTTTGTCCTGCACTCCCTGCACTTACGTGGCACTACTTGTTCCCTGCAATTTACCTCTATGTGCCCGGGATTCCAGAACACCCTCTCTGTATGTCAACTCTAACTCCTAAAGTATCTTCATATTTTCCCTCCTGTTGCCCTTTGCCCCAGTTCCCTGCATGTGCACCATGGATACCTGCACCTGCTTCAGTCCTTCTCCCCTCTCCCTCAACTCTCTGACTGCCTCCCATCCACACATCTTTTTACCCACTTCCCATTACACCCATTTGTATTTAAAATGCTTAATAGCTACTTTCAATATTTTAAAATATAAATGGCTACAAGAGCATCAGGGCAAATGGCGTGGCCTGAGGGAGCCAGTATTGGTGGCAAAACTGTGATTATAGGCTGAATTTTGAGGTCATGGAGCCATTATGGCAGCAGGGGTGGGGAAGAAGGCTGTGTAGAGACCTGGGAAAACAGGCTAGTCTCCATATCTTAGCTCCTTGCATGTGCCCCTAGTCCCTGCTCTCCTTCCCTCCCTTCCATGCCTACCCAGTCCCCTGACCTCTTTCCAACAACTCAGTGTGGGCAAATGTGCGTGTGTATATTTTTTACATAACTGAATTGGATTTTGGACCATAACTGAGTTGGATTTTGATTTTTCTATGTTTATAATTTTCATCTAGATACACAGAGCTGCTTGTAATTAGTGATGACTGAGTGTAATATCTGAGAATGGCATTAAACCACAGTTTATTCTTTACAGGCTTTCGAACTACGATATCTTCTGGTACACACACAACCTTTTCTTTGTCTTCTACGTGCTGCTGCTGGTGCATGTTTCCGGGTATGTAACAAAATAAACTGTCCCTGTACCTTAAGCACAGTGAGGAGGGTACAGCTTACAAAGAAGGGCATTGAGGCAGGGAGCTAAGTGGCATCTTCCTGACATGACCTTGTGCTGGTCAGTATTCCACAGTGGCAATTGCTCAGGTAAAGCTTGTGTTGTGGTTGGAGCATCATTTGGTACAGCAGATTAGAACACAGCAGGGTCAAAACCTGAACTAAACCCCGCTCCTTGCCCATTCCACCAAATTCTGGTGTTAACTAAAATAAATGTTGTTTAGCTCTGTCTCCAGAACCACCCTGGCTGAAGTGAAGTCACTCTCTTCCCTTTGTCTTTCCTTTCTCCACATCCCCATTGCTGTAAACACAACAGTTATTTCTCTCTCCCCAACCATTTTAAACAACCAATCTATGGGTATAAATGACCACACAAGTGTTACGAGTGGGGGGCTTGGGCAGTCAGTCCTAATGGCCAGAGCCAGAGTCCAGGGGTCTAAGTCAGGGGTTCCAGGATCAGAATCTAAGAGTGATAGCTGGAGTTTGGGACTGGGGCCGGGGTTTTAGTACTGATGCCAGTGGGCAGGGATGGAGCCAGCATTCAAAGGGCAAAGCCAGGTCTGTAGCCAGAGTCAGAGTTCAAGCACTGAAGCACAGGATCAAAGCCACAGTCAGCGTCCAGGTACCAAAACCAGAGGTTGAAAGCTGGAGTTGGCCTCCCAATACTGAAGCCAGGGGTCAAAGCCGGTGTCAGAGTCCAAGTACTAAAGCAGGGTCTGGGCTCGGAGTCAGAGTTCAAGGGTGGAAGCCGAGGGTCCAACCTGGAGCCGAGGGTCTGAAAACTAGCAGAGAGGCAGATCCATCACAGTGGCTGGCAAGGAAGTCAACCTTATTGTAAAGATGCTTCCTAGAACTCCTCCTGGGTTTAAATAATGTGCCTGGACCAATCGGGGCCATGAGGGAAGCTGTCAGTTCAGCCTTCTGTGGTGATACTTCCTGTGGTTTTATCTCCACGGGAAGTATGCGGTGATGCCTACAGGTTTCCCATTGCTGTCAGGTAGTGGCGTGGAGGTGTCACCTGTTCTGCAGACCCAGGTTCTGGTCCCGTCCCCACAGAACCTCACAAGGTGCAAGACTGTGGAGGTTCCCACATCAATGCAATTCCTTTGGAACAGATCCTTAGCTGGTGTAAATCAGCACCACTGCATTTGAATCAAAGCAGCTGCATCATTGACATCAGCTAAGGACCTCGTCCATTGACTTCCCTGGAATTACTCCTGATTTAGACTGATGTGAGATGAGAAAGAGACAAGCGTTCGAGCTACACAGAGCTCTTCTTAAGGTCTGGGAAAGGTACTCAGAGTCACAGCTAAATACCTATAGGAGTTGCATTGGTATGAGAAACTGAGTACCTTTCCCAGACCTGAAGAGCTCTGTGTAGGTTGAAAGCTTGTCTCTTTCACCAACAGAAGTTGGTCCAATAAAATATGTTACCTCACTCATCTTGTCTCTCTTTGTAGGGTCTGAAGGTAAACAATGAGTAGTTGTTCGATTTTACAAGTGGTTAAATAGAGCACTGTAAACTTGAAATCTAGAGAATTTAAAAAAAAAGAGTTCCAAGTATCAGGTTCTTACATTGGACCATGATTCCTGACTTTTCCATGTTTTTTTAAAAGGTTCCCCCCGCCCCTTCACTGTTGCTATATGAAAGACCCAACAGGGGAATCTGACAAACTAAGGCCCCCATCTCGCACTGAATAAAAGGCAGGTGGTTCCCTGTGCAGACCCCTGTTCTTGCAGGACTGAGCCTGCCTGGCTATACAGGGGAATTGGTGACAATGACTCTGCACAAAGTGCTGTCTCATACACAAACTAAAAACTAGAGGAAAACATTTTTCCTACCCTCCATCAGTTATAGTAGATGTAAGATGTAACTTGTAACAATAGAAGCTAAAAACATTTCAAACAGAAGCATGTTTTTTTTAAATTCACAGATTTTTTTTATTATGATTAAGGAGCCCTTGTCATAGACTAGGACCCCATTGTGCTAGGTGCTGTACAAAATGATGATCCCTGCCCCAAAGAATTTACAATCTAATTATAAGACAAGAAACAACAGATGGAGAGAGACAGACAGGTGAGAACACAAGGAAACAACGAGACAATATTAGTCAGCATGATAGGCTGTGGTATCAGCACACCTATCCGTTGGCAAGGTTTTTTGGATAAAGTTACCGGTACCAGTTCTTAATTCCTGAGGCTAGATGGAGCATATAACTAATGTCTTTTTGCATTCTCAGCAGCCAGCCTGAAAGGGTAGATTAGAGTGGAGCAGGCATCAGGACTGAAACATCTAGGCTACTGACTAAAAATCCCAGTGGAGTCAATGGAGGCCTACCTCTCTCTGAGGTGGAAAAGCTGCATTCCATGCAGAAAAACCTGTGTGGGCAGCTTTTGAATGAGCAAGGTTTAAAATGCAAGGACCAATCCTGCTCCCACTGAAGTCAGTGGGAGTTTTGCCATTAATTTGCAGGGCTCACTCCTCCTTCCATTGATGCACTTTTGGTAAGATTAGGGACTTGCCCTGGTGTCTTTATTCAAGATGTCCCCAACTCTCATGAGGTGCTGCCTGCAACTCTGTAAGCAACTCAAGTTCCATGATGGGTTATAGTGTGCATAACTGAGTAGGGAGCAGGCAGCAGTGGTGTGTGTGGGGACCATTGCTAGGAAGTGCATTAGGGTTTTTTTGTAGTCACGTTCATTCTGGATCCTCTGTTTAAAGATTGCCTGCCTCCCCGCCCCTGGGCACTGGCAGCTGGAGGAAAGACTGTCAGCATGACACCAGAGGAGCTGAGCTGTCAAGTAGCAGGGGCATGGGCAAGGGGTCCCAGGGTGTCTGAGATTTGCATGGGAATGGCAGTTCATTCTTCAGAGGACAAACCTCTTCCCATCACTGGAATGATTTGGGGAAGATTCTGCAAGGGGATTTTTTTAGGATATCCCATGCCCTTTCCTCCCAGATCCTCTCCTGGGGGTTCTTCCTAGTTCTACTCTATGTATATTGTTATACTGCCTGGGTCTGTATCTGAGCACCTCCCAGTAGTGCATTAAGTGAGACGACTAACATCTGTCATGTATGGTTTGTTGTTTCTTTCATCCTCACCCCAGGGGGAGAAGAGAACTAGCCTTAATAATTAATGCATGTGCTGTTGTGGTACTTTTTGCAACAAGACCTGCAAAGAATTTCAGTGACTTAATGTACAGATGCCCCAAACTTTAAGTAGGCTTTGGTATTAAGCCAACAATAGCAAAAAGTCAATAGGAAACACAAAACAGATGCTTTCAGGACATTATTCTACAAACATAAGGATTACTAAAACATTTGGAGCCAGCTCTTCTGCTGGTGTCAATTGGGCTAGCTCCACTGAAGTCAAAGGAGCTACGCCAGTTTGCACCAGCTGAGGATCTGACCTTGGTGATATTGCTATAGTTGTCAAAGGACTTAGACATCTCCTACAGGGTGAAGAATTCTTAAGATTCTACCCATACATTGTCCTCGATCAAGTCCAGAAGTACCAGAGCTTAACTCACCCTGGGACACCAGAGAGAGGATGCCAAGATAATCCTCAAAAAACCCCAAACATAAATCATACGTCATTGCAGCTAACTCAACTTCAGTAGGACTAAATATTAAGTAATTAATTAAATTAATGTATTAAAGTTAAGCACATGCTTAAGTCCTTTGCTGGAATGGTGTCTTCATGGCAAATACTTTATTAAATACTGGCTGGTGATCTGAAATCTGGGACATGTTTGTAAATTTTATTTTCCTGTGTTTCAAATATATTCTTCATCGGAGATTGTTTGGAGGAGGGGAGAGAAGTGACTAATGTGGTGGTACTGGATTTATCAAAAGAGCACATAGCTTTCTCAGTGGCTGTAGCTATGGTAATAGCTTTTATAGTTTATCAAAGAATCAGTGCCTTTGGACAATGATTCATGATTGTGTGTCGCTTTTAGTAGATAATCTCTTGTGTATTGGACACAACGTGTCAAAAAGTATAATATTCAAAGAACAGGGTTAGTCTTTCATTTATATAATGTGGGTGTGTATGTATTGTAGCTTGATTGTTTAAGATTCCATTTTCAGTGAATGCTGAGGCTACGCTACATAAAAGCAAAAATGCTATTATCAAAATGGAGTTTTTATAATCCTGATATGACATGAGAGGTGACCAAATTATATATGTATATATATAAACTTTTAAACGGTGCGGGGAGGGAAGGATTTGTCTGTACAGAGACGTAGTGTGCAGCATGCTGGGATGTAATTCCAGTGGCCATGTAAAGTGGCCATGTAAACCCTGCTTCCAAGCACTAGATGTTCCAAAGTGCATTTTGATGTGCACTACAGAACTTTTCGTGTGCTGCAACAGGATCCCCATAGCCATTTAGTGGTGGCAGGCTGGTGTGCAGTAGATTTACATCCCAGCTTGCTGTGCACTACATTTCTGTATAAAGAAGTCTGAAGAGTGGCCTATGAGAGGAAGAGTAGCCTTCTTCCTAAGGAGACACAGGATTTCGGGTTCAATTCCCAGCTCTGCTGCAGATATCCTGGGTCCTCTGAGGGAAATCTGGTAATTTGTGCCTTAGTTCACCATTTTAAAGAATTTTTCCTTTTTGTCTGTATTGTCTGTTTAGATTGTAAGTAGAACTAGTCAAAATAGCCAAAATTAGTTTCATGAAAATTTTCAAATTTATAGACTTTTTGAAGTACTCGAAACCAACCATTTAAAAAAAAATTGTGATTCCTTTTCAATTTCTTTTGTTCAAAATTTTTATTTCAAATGTTATCCGAATAGTTAACAACAATTTTGATTTACCCAAGACTGGGTTTTTTGGTAAATAAGATTTGTCTTTACGGAACAGCGCTGTTTTTGATAAACATAAAATGTTGATTATTGAAAACATTTTAGGAATGGTTAAGAATTGAAAAAAGATAAAGACATGAAATCTTTTGAGAAAAAACAAAAAAAATTAAGCAATGTCAACAATTTTTTACAAATTGGAAAAAGGGTATCTTGTGACAGACACATTTCAACCAGCTTTAGTTTTAAGGTCTTCAGGGCTGTTGCTATTTTATGATGTGTTTGTACAGTGCCTAGGTCAATAAGGCTCTGATTTTTTTTAGGGCTTCTTTAGCACTATCACAAATAATAATAATGACACTGGCCAGATTCTCAATTGGTGTCAATGGAGCTATGCCTATTTAGTTCTGTCACAATATTAATGGTGATAAAAACAAAATTTCTATACAAATATTGAGCAGAAGGTAGAAAAATATCACTGGTTCTGTTCTTTCTGTAGATTCTCACAAAAATCACAGAAGTTAACAATGGGAAAAGGTTTAATATGTTTTTCTGAGGAAATTCTAGCCCCTTTCCTTGCAAATCTTCCCTGAGGATATTGTCTGTTGTTTTTTCCAGCCTAATTTTACGATTGGGTCTTCTAATCTTTGAAATGTATTTCACAGCTAAGTACAGCATGCTGTCAAGAGAGGCAGTGTAGACAAGTGGCTACAGCACTTAACTGGGACTCAGGAGAACTGGGTTTTATGCTCAGCTCTCCTATTGTCCCGCTGGGAGACCTTGAGCAAATCACTTCATCTGCCTCAGTTTCCCCATCAGTAAAATAGGTGTAATGATACTGACCTATTTTGTAAAGTGCTTTGAGCTCTATGGATGAAAGGCACTATATAAGAGCTAGGTATTTTTATTGTTGTTATTAATGAGCTAATAACATTGAATAGGTGGAAGATTGAGTGTAGTGGAATTGCAGTTCACCTTAGGAGCTTCTGAACTCATAGCATAGCACTAAAGTGCCACCCTGGCAATGGCAGCTGTTGTATAGAATGTTGCCAACCATGACTAGTAGGCTTCAATCAGTGACTTCACTTTCAGCTCCCATATTTATTAGTTATCTTGTAGAAATTGCAAAACCAGAAATTTGTCATGTGAACCATCAGAAAATTCTCACTTGTTCATCTTGCAATCCTGAAACACTGATAGCCCCAAAGATCTAGTTAACCCAGTGTTATTTTTTGGTTTTGCAACTTTTTGTTTAATTAGTTAGAAATAATGCCTAGAGACACTCTATCATGGGTGCCTTATAAATGATTCGATTACCTTGTGCCAAGTGGTAGATGAGTTCATGCCTGGCAGATTGAAGTGCAACCATTAAAGGGTTTGTGTGTGACAGTTTGTAATGGACAAATATTAAAAGTGTGTTTTAATATCACTATCCCACTTTGGGTATCCCCTGTGTTAGAGGTGACAGAGTATACAAAACTTATCTCATCTATCTAGCCCATTACCCGGATATCTGAGCATGCAGGGGGAAGCCATAGTTGGGCTTCCAACGCTCTGGTGGGGTGAGTAGCTAATGCTATCTTAAATGTCTGAAGTGCTTCTGTGTGCACCAATCACCAGTGTATCTGAGCACCTCACTATCTTTAATATATTTATCCTTGCAACACCCTGTGAGGTAGAGCAGTGCCATTATCCCCATGTAACAAATGGGGGAACTGAGGCAATAGGATCTAAAAGACTTGGCTAAGGTCACATAGGAAGTCTCTAGTGAAACAGGGAACTGAATCCTGGTCTCCCAAGGCCCCAGTTTGTGCCCTATCCATTGGCCATGTCGGCAGCATGTATCGTGTCAGGAGGGCAAGGTTGGGTTGGGAAGGTTGCCGCCACCACCATGCTTCCCTCCACTCCTGTGAACCAAACAGCGCCAGGATGGCTGCTGTGTGGGTGGGGCATCAATTACATGTTTCAAAGGTGGAACTAGGCGCATCGCTCACCACATTGTACCCAGCACTCAGGAGGAATAATGCTACAGACAGACAGGTATAATGCTACAGATGTTTCACCCAGGCATTGCTGCACAGGCCATAAACTACCTTCTCTCCCCAGCAAAGCCGTGCCTCTTAAAAGGTATAATTTAGCCATTTATATTTCTACCATCCCAGTCCATAATTTTGATATAATTCAAGCCCAAATTCTTTGGATGGCAAAGGAAAGCTTCAGCAGAACAAGGAGTTATATTACTTCTCTCGTTACCTTCCTAATGATTCATATAATGTCTGGAGTAATCCTAGTTTTCCTTTAGTATTTTTCCTCTTTCTGTTCTCTAGTTGTGTCTGTAAAATCCCAAGCACGTACTTTTTATTATAAATGTAACTCTCACCTGAGAAACATGCACAGCTCCAGAAGTATAATTTGTAAGGTTGGATCCCTGCCTTTTGTAGAAGTGTGGAATGTCGTTGCTGTGGCAACGCTGTCAAAGCTGCTAAGCAGTTACAGCTGCACAGTGCTTCTGTCCTTGGAGCTCCAGTGTTATCAGCACTAGCAGAGAGCACAGCTTGCTCATTCAGCAGACCTCAATGTTACTCAGAGAGAAAGACCACAGACACAGTTCGGTGACAAAGGCACTCAGCCAGGTTTATTGCCCTCAAAGCACAGTCCTAATGACTTGCACAACTTGAACAAATACATTAACACATGAATGCCCTGCGGCAAGGAGCCAGCAGTGGGAGTCTCTGCTGTCCCCATGGCCGCACAAAGGGCTAAGGCAAGGTACCTTGACATTTACAGACTGAGGCAAACAACTGGGATTAACAAGTTACGTGTTGCCTTACATGTTTCATGACATATGTTTGTTACCTCCCCTTGCACCCGGTTCTTAATATTTCAGACCAAACATCCCTATTATGCTGTAAACCATCTTATCTTGTACTAGAATGTGGTGTGTCTGTACTAACCTTCTGAAATATATTTACGTAATATATCTAGTGCCTGGTACACTAGCAGCAACTTTGCCAAGTTTATGTACCGAACAGTGAACTTGTAAGCGTCAGCTTTAATACATGGCCTGACTTTGGTTCACAGCCTCTGGTTCAGGCCTCAGGTCCTGCACCAGGCCCAGTTCTCCAGGCTCTCTGTACTACACCTTTGATGGAGGACTGTAATGGGGTTCACTCACTGCAAGAGCTCCTCTTCCTAGCCAGGCATGGCATAGTGGCTTTCTTCCCATATGGCGGCCCCTGCCGATAGTCAATCCATGGCTGCAGTGGTCTCTCTTTCCATAATTCACAGTGCTCCCTCTTTGCGATTCAGCCTTGCGGATAGATCACTTATATAATCTGCCCCCTTCCAGGGTATCAAAGTCTCACCAGACCAGATGTCTGGGTGGCACCTCCAACAGTGCTGTGTCATTTCCTAGTGACTGTTAGAGGAACTCAGGCTCCTCCTCTCCCCCCGCTTTCTTATTGTTTCCCTGGGCTTCTTCCTACCTAGGCTTCTCAGGCTTTCTTTCCCCACAACTCCTCCAGTTGATCCTGCTTCCCAGGCCAGGATCCCAGGGCTTATTCTCCCACCTGGGTTTCCCCCTCCTCTCTGCTCTCAGAGAGTGACTACAGACTCTCTCCTTGTGGCCTCCTGCTACTAAAGACTTCCTCTCTTTATATTCCTTATCCAGCTTCTCCCCCAGCTGGGCATCACCAGCCATTAGTATTCATAAATCCCTCGGCCTCCCTTTAGGTGCAACTATGAAGATTAATTGGCCCCTTCTGGGGCCTCCTTAACCCCTTCAGGGCCAGTGTGGGGTGAACACCCCATCATAATGACTTTTTTCATTTGACAAGTGGATTTTCAAAAGCACGATGTTGCTCATGTATGATGCTGTCATGCACAAACATGAAATACTCTTAATGTTGGGAGTGCCCCCTGCAGTTTATAATTCTGCAGTATTGATAGGCCACTTGTATTTAAGATTGCATTGAAACGAGGGCTTGTGTAACACACAGAATGTGGCTGAAAATAGCGTTGGTGTGATTGAATTGCAAATGCAACTATTTAATTTCTCTCCAAGGCCCCCACAATTTCTCCTACCCTCAAGTAGTATCAGGAGTGCCAGGTGGGTTGCAGAACCTTCACTCTAGTGACAAAGGGATCTATTGTTGGAACGCTTCAAGCTAATTCAAACTCCTGAAGGTAAAACAAAGTAAAAATGCTTGTGGAATATCAGCCTTTGATCCGCTTTGTGATGGCCTATAACATGCTCTACAAATTGAGAGAAGTCTGTTGATTTTGATTGCTGTTTCAGTGTCTTTTTTGTTTGTTTGTTTGTTTGTTTGTTTCCTGTAGAGGAGTGCTTAAATACCAGACTAACCTAGAGGAACACCCTCCTGGCTGCTTTCATCCTAACACAACTCTCCAAGAGGATATTCCAGTGCCAGGGATTTTTGAAGAGCCTTTTCCTGAATATGCTCCTGAGCCTTTCCCAGCAGAACCAGAACCATTTGTACAAAATAACGTTGTGAGAATTTGCACTGAGGAACCCAAGTTCCAGTCGCACTTCCCAGAGGTCTGTATGATCCAATGTTTCAGGTTTTACAGGCAATGCCAAGTCTTTCAGTCAGCCACAACCACTAATTATTACTTCTCTGGACAAGAAGTTTTAATAATGGAAAATATTATTAAAACCTTTTCAGGCATCCATAGATTTGGTGGCATGAAACAATCTGTATTAAATTCTTAGAGCACAATACAGAATGGTGAACAGTGTACAGTGGGGAAAATTTTAGGGACCTTTGATGAGCATTTTGAGACTTTAGCTTAATTGAAACAATTAACCTCCACTTGTACTCGTTTTAACCATATACATGTAAGTTTGATTACACATTACTTAGGTGTAACCGTTATCAAAATATAGATTTGGCTTCGTAGTAGAAATTAGATAATCCGTGTAACTACTTCATTATTGTTGTTATTGCTGTTATTTATATTACAGTAGAGCCCAGAGTCCCGTATCAGCATTAGAGCCCCATTGTACTAAGCACCATACAAAACATAAGAAGAGACAGTTCTCGCTGAAGATCTTATAAACTAAGACCATGATCCCGCAACAAACTGCAGGAAGATCCTTTTGTAGAGTGTTGCTGAAGTCAATGGGTCTCTGTGCATGCAGAGTTTCATCAGCACAGAGGGCTGAATTAGGGCTTAACGGAAGACAAAACACCATAGGGGGCCCTAACACACATCAGGAAGTGAAGGGAGGGATAGCTCAGTGGTGTGAGCATTGGCCTATTAAACCCAGGGTTGTGAGTTTAATCCTTGAGGGGGCCATTTAGGGATCTGGGGCAAAATCAGTACTGGGTCCTGCTAGTGAAGGCAGGGGACTCAACTCAATGACTTTTCAAGGTCCCTTCCAATTCTATGAGATAGGTATATCACCATATATTTTTTACTGTTAGAAATTAAAGAAATCTATGAGTAATCCCTACTGGCCACCTGCGTAGCCACAGTCAGTTGGCAAATCCCATTGACATCATCTGGTTCTTAAGGAGGGATTTGAAGGAGGAGAGGGCAGCGGCTTGACAGGCTATAGTTAGGGAGGGTGATCCATGCAAAAGGGGCTCAAGGGAAGTGTTATACGGGAGGTCAGGGCCGGCTTTAGGAAGTGCGGGGCCCAATTTGAACATTTTCGGCGGGGCCCCGGCAGGGATGACTAAAAAAAAAAAACCTGTTCCATAACAATATAAATATATATTATGTACATTGCGTCATATATGCTGCTGATCGGTTATTAATGAGCTCCATTTCACATGTGTGGGTCCCCGCCACTCCCTGGGGGTGTGCTAGGGTGACCAGATGTCCCGATTTTATAGGGACAGTCCCGATTTTGGGGTCTTTTTCTTATATAGGATCCTATTACCCCCCACCCCCATCCCGATTTTTCACACTTGCTGTCTGGTCACCCTAGGGTGTGCACATGTGTGGGTCCCAGCTGCTCCCTGCCCCCCTCATTGAAGCAGGTGTGCAGGGTTACTGCCCTGGGAACTGCAGGGCACCAGTGGACATGGGGCTGGCTGGAGGCAGGGCAGGGGCTGACTGGAGGTAGGGTCTGGCTGCAGGCAGGGCAAGGGGTGCGGGGCTGGCTGGAGACAGGGGTATGTGGGGTGGGCTGGCTGGCTTCAGGCAGGGCCGCAGGGTGGTGTGGCAGGCAGGGCCGGCTCTAGGCACCAGCAAACGAATCACGTGCTTGGGGCGGCACATTTTCAGGGGAGGCATTCCGGCCATCTTTTTTTTTTTTTTTGCTTCGGGCGGCAAAAGCCTAGAGCCGGCCCTGGCAGCAGCGCGTCCTGCGCGGGGGTGCCCTGGGGCCGCTGCGGTTCGCGCTGCGGGGGAGCAGCGCCGCACCTTGTGGCTGGGCCGGGCAGGCTCCGAGCGGGGGACACTCGGGCTGGGGGCCTCCCTGCGGGGCACATGGAGCTGCCTGCAGGTGCCACAGGGCGGTCGCCCCCCAGCGCCGCAGCCAGGGCTAGGCGAAGCGGCCTGAGTCGCCCAGGGACTGTGGCAGAGCGGCCAGAAGCAGCAGCAGCAGCAGCGGGGCCATAGAGGGTGGGGCGCTGCCGTGCGGGGCCCGCATCCTGCTCTCCGGGGCT